GCCTCCAAAGTGCTGCCAGGTGCTCCCAGTATGATCCCCGTTGCCCCAGTTCTGGTCCCACGGAATCCAGTCGGGGTCTCGGTGTATCCCAGTGTCCCCCCTGTCCCCCCACCCCGGTGTCACCCCCTTTTCTCTCCCCACAGAGCTCCTGAGCCGCCGGTGGCCGCAGCCCCTTCCCAGGGCCTCGGGCCCAGCCTGGACCCCCCCGTCCCATGAGGATTTTGGGGGGGTCGTGTGTCCCCCCCTCCCCTGCTGTCACTCTGCCTCTGCCCGGCTGCTCCCAGTGATCCCAGTAAAGCTTCCCAGTTCTCCCCAGTCCTGGTTATTGGGGGGTACTGGGGAAGGAGCTTGAGGAAATCCCAAGGAGTGGAGCCAAGTCTGGGGGGGCAGAACCAGCCCAGGATGGATCAGGAATTGGGACCCCTCTCTGTCCCCTCAGTGTCAACCCACTCTGGAGGGGCTTGGAGAGGGAACCTGCCCCTCAATAAACCACCCAGCTCACACCAAAGCGTGCTGGGAACTTCCCCAAAACCCCCACACAGCCCCTCAAGGAGCCCCAAACACACTCAAAGCCCACCCAGGACCCCACCCAGCCCATTTTCTGGGGGGAACTTCTCTGGGTACTGGTGGTGCTGGGAGCCCCCCCGGCTGCGGGCGAGGAGTTCTCGGGTGAGTGGGGGGTGGGAAGGGGAGATCGGTGGGAAAAGGGGGGTCAGAGGGGATAAAGGGGTGGTGGGACCCCAAACTGAGTGGGAGGGGAGTGGAACCACCCAAAAGTGGAGGGGGAGGAGCACTGAGGTTTGGGGGGTGATGGGAAACAGGTGGGAGAGGTCAGAAGAGTGGGGAAAGCGCAGGGTGGGACCCCCAAACTGAGCATGAGGGGGCTGGGGAGTGGGGGGTGATTTGGAAGGGGTAGGAGAGAGGGGAAAAAAGTGGGGGTTGGGACCCCCAGAGTGATCCTGGGGGGAGCTGGGGAATGAGGGGACCACAGAAAAGTGGGAGGAACAGGGAGAAGGGTGGAAAAGGGGGGGTGGTCTGGAGGGTCCAACAGTCCCATGGGGGTCTTTGGGCACCAGATTTTGGGAAAGGGGGGTGGCCCCCCTGAGCTCCCAACTTCCTGTGGGGTGCTGGGGACTGTTGGATCCAATCTCAGCCTTTGATCATGCCAACACTTTCAGTTTAGAGGAATTACAGAGGTGTGACTGAACTTTTGTCCCTGAAATTTTATTAATGGTAAAACAGATCCATGGATAGAAATGAATTTATTAAGGGTTATAAGTAATCAGACAAAAGACCTTCATCAGAATTATTTACTGCACAATAGAAACACTAAAACTACCAGGAGTACAGGATAAGATAGGACAGTGCTCTACACTAAAGTAATTGTTGAAGCATTTCTACTGAGGCTGTCACAAAAGCAATAATTCTCAAATAGAGATGGATGGAATTTCCCCAGACCAATGCTCATGGGGAGATCTCTGCTCTCAACCTCCAGGACTGACCACCCAAGAAGGGTTCTGTTGAAAGAAGCTGCCCCTGGGAAAGGGGGACTGGCCCTTTGTGGTGGAAAGGGATGGACTGACAGTCACAGGACTCCAGGGGTTGCCTCAGCATCAGGGGGTTCATTCGGGGTGAAAGCAGCGGTCGAAGCTCTTCCTGCAGTCGGGGCATTCATAGGGTTTCCCTTACTGGTGGGTCCGTTGGTGTTTGGTCAAGGTAGAGCTGTGGGGGAAGGTCTTCCCACACTCCCCACACTTGTAGGGCCTCTCCCCGGTGTGGATGCGCCGGTGGGTGATGAGGGTGAAGTTCCGACTGAAGCCCTTCCCGCAGTCGGTGCAGCGGAACGGCCTCTCATCCGTGTGCGTCTGCTCATGCCTGAGGAGATGTGAGCTGGTCTGAAACCTCTTCCCACATTCTCTACATGTGTAGGGCCATTCCCCACTGTGGATGTGCTGGTGGGTGCGGAGGCTGGAGCTTTGGTTGAAGCTCTTCCCACATTCCCCACACGTGTAGGGCCGTTCCCCAGTGTGGATGCGTTGGTGGGTGCAGAGGTTGGAGCTTTGGTTGAAGCTCTTCCCACATTCCCCACAGGTGTAGGGGCGTTCCCCAGTGTGGATGTGCTGGTGTCGGAGAAAGTGGGTGCTTTTCCTGAAACTCTTCCCACATTCCAAGCACCTGAAGGGCTTCTCCCTGTTGGGAGGCTGCTCAGGGTCCACCAGCTCAGAGCTCCCCCTCAAGCTCCAGCCGCCTTCCCGGCACAGGCTGGCTCTTTCCTCCTCAGAGCACCCTGGGATGGCTTTGGAGCCCCTCCTGCGGGGGGATCTCCGGCCCTTTTCCTCCCCGCTGCCTTCCTGCGCCGGGGAGCCCTTCAAAACAGCCTCTCCCACCAGGGTCTCACGGGGGGATTTGTCCTCCGGGCTCTCCGTCCTCAGCTCGGGGCCTGGGGCAGGAAGCAAGAAGGACAGGGAGGGGATTTGCCTCCGGCCCACAGGGAAGGCCAAGGACATCCCCCCAACTCCGGCCCCGGCAGGACGGCGGCGGCAGCGGGGTTGTCCTGCAGCCGGGGCCATGCTCGGCTGACAGAGCCAGCACAACACCCGCCCAAAGGGCCACTGACTTCCTCCTCACCTGCCTGGGGGGCCCGAGGCATCTTCCTCTTCCTCGCAGCCTCCTCCTCCATCCGCCCAAGCTTTGGGAAGGACAAATCCTGATGGGGGGAAAACAAGGGCTGAGCGCGTTGGCTTGGGGGTTCCTCCTGCCCAAGTCCATCTCTAGAACTCACTGGGTATCCTGTGTCCATAAAAACCTCCAAAACACCAAGATTCAGCCCAGAAAAACTTAAACCACCAAGATTCAGGCAAAACACCCCTCAGAAATAGCAACAAGACTCTCGCCACCCAAAACTGTAAAAAGTTAAGATTCAGCCAAAAAATACTCCAAAATATGAAGATTCAGCCCAAAAAAAGGTGATGATGGGGACTGAATTTAACCCTCCAGCAGGAAAGTCGTTTGATTTC